TGGACACCTGGGTTCCTTCTTGCAAGCCAGGGTGACCCCAGATACACCCTGATCCTCTCACCGGTGGGCCAGGCTGGGCTGGAGTGGAACAGCTGCCACAGTGTCCTGGGCACTGGTGTGGCACAGACTGTGGGCTGGGGCTGGGGTGGGTGCTGAATGCTACAGATGACTGGAATGGTGTGACAGGGTGCCATCTTTGGCTGCCTTTTCTTTTCTTTTTTTTTTTTTTTTTTCTTTGTAGGCTGGCGAGCGGGTACCCATCAAGTCTTACTGTATTTTCCTCCCCTGGGGATCAGCTTCCCCTCTTTTACTTTCCTGCCATGGTTTGATGTTACTTGGTTCTTAAAAAGTGGGAGGCTGATGCAAAGGTTCCAAGACATGCTCTAAGCTCACCACCTGTAGGATAATGAGCTGTTGCCTTAAGGGCAAAATGCATGCTCCTACCTTCCCTTGACATGCCCCATGCCTCACAGATGTTTTATAATTCTCTTGTTATGTTAGGGTCTCAGCCGCTGTGGACTTACCCCTCTCTCTCTAGCTAGGCCTGTCAGTCAAAGCCCACTAAGCAGGGCTTGACTCCAAGGCTCTAGTTCTCTAACCTGCTCAGGCTCACGGCCCTCCGTTTCATATTCTCCACGACACCAGGCCTACTGGCCCTTCTACACTGTGCCCCTGGGCGCCAGGCTGTTGCGGCCTCAGCTCCCTCTGTCTTTACCCTTCTTTCTGTAGTTAGGGCCATTCGCCTAAATCCACCCACTAGGACCTGGTTTCAAGGCTCCTATACTCCCTTCAAGCAATTCTGGGCTTGTGGCCCTAGTGCTGTATCCCTAGTGCAGCGGACCTCTTGAGCCCTTTATCACGGTGCTTCTTGGTGCTAATGAGGTCTCCTCCTCCCCTACAGCCTCAGCCACAAGCCACCGGCCTTACTGTTAAATGTAAACCATAGGCCCCTATGGCCATACAATGAAAATAAAAATAAGAGGCAAACTGCCTGCTTACATGCAATTGTGCTTGTGTCACAGTGTAGCGCATTCTTCCCAAAGAGGCAGCCACAGCTGCTCCATAGACATCGGGAATCCCCTTCTCTGCTGCCCTCCCTGCCTTTTCTGCTTGAGGTTTATATAGTTCTGGCCTTTCCCTTCCCCTCACCTGACCAGCTGGCAGGGCTCGATCCTTAACCCATGCTTGACTGGATGGCTGTGCCCAAACGGTTCTGGATTTAAAGGGTCCACTCTGCTTCCTGATAACAGGGCTAGGGCTCCCTGTTACAGGGCTGCTCTGCTTCCTGGTAACAGGGTTAGCATTCCCTGTTATAGGTGGGGAGGGATGGGTGGAGCTGATCTGCCTGGCTTGGCCCGGCCTGGCCCGGTTCAGTGTGATTCAACCCACAGTGCCCAGGGGGTCTGTGTTCTAGGAGTTAGGGGCAGAGCCTGGCAGGGGCAGCTGCTCTGCCCCCCGCCCCCACCTGCTGTGTACAGCAGGGTCCTTCCTCTGGTGGGGAGCCTGGCCCAGAGACCCCCCAGCCCAGGGCAGCCTCAGGCTTAGGTAGCTGCCCCCAGGCTGGGGTTGAAGGGCATAACCTGCAGCTGGCATGGGGCACTTTTACATATGCTCTGGAAGTGAGGGTGAGATGCTTTAGCTAGAGTGGCTTCAAGAGCTGCTCTAATTAAAGTGCACCCCTGCCTCCTGTATCAGTGTCCCCATGCTTAGAAATGGTGGTAGGGGCACTTGAATTAAAGCTTGCTTGACGAGCTTTATTACTAAATATCCATTATTGGATCAGTATCAGCCAATATGGCTGGTTAATAATCAGCTATTGGTATTGGCCAAGAAAATCTTTGTCTGTGCACCTCTACTAAGAACAGCTGAGCACACAAGAGAAAACTTGCTGACTCTACCTCACTCTCCCCAGTTAAAAGGGTGGGTAGCAGAGCCCTGTGGAATGCTGGAGGACCACAGGAAGGTGCAGACATTTCAAGAAATGCTTCAAGGGTCTTTTCTGAAGTACTTCGGCTATTTTGAAGCACTTCTTTGGCCTCAAATGTCTTTATCCCCACTGTTTAGAGCACTTCAGAAGCACATGCAGTGCTTCAAACAGCACATCTGCCTATGGCTTGAGCTTGGCTTCTGTGAAAATGTCCCTCCTAGTGACAGCTGGATTTTTACAGTAGAATGAAGCTGTCTTTTGAAGTCATTGTTGTGGAAGGAGAGACTCTCTCTCATGTAATTACATACCATGCTCTGAAAATCAGTATAGTCACCCTTAACTGGATTCTTTCTTCAACAGGCAGCCAAAGTTGGGAGTAGCAAATTGGGATGACAGGTTCCTAGTAACCTCTGAGACTGAGCAAATAAACTATTAAACTCTTGTTCAACTACGGCTTCTTCAGTGTGCTGGGCCTTATTCTTAGATACAGGACATTTCAGGTATATTGAAGTATGTAAGGAGAATTCAGTATCCAGAACAAATACAGGCTCATGAATCATCTGATAATCTAAATGCAAAAATTTTATGGTGGTGGACATAACAAAAAATGTATGTTTCAGAACACTTCCCTCTGCAGAGCATCACCTTATTCTTACTAGAGTAAAAGTAGCCAGGGACCAGCTCACCTACCTTCAGTCAGCCATTGTCTTGATCTGATACTCACATTTAAGGTAAACTGTTCCATCTGGAGTACCCTTTTCTTATAAAAAATAGTATTTCTACCTATTGCTAACACCACAGCTTTCATATTCTTCACAATCTATTCTCTTACCACTTGAAACAGAATAATTAGCTTCTTTTCTCTTCCCCTACACACTTATGGTCAAAATAATAATAATGAATTTATTATGCATAATAATAATAACAGCAGTATACACAACTTAACTATATCACCTTACTACATCTACGTGATATAAAACTAATTACATTTTTTATTTTAGCATATGTTTATGTCCTAAAAATGTTGAACAGTTCTTTGGGTAAGCTTTTTAAAGCTTCTTGTTACTGAACTTCTGAGCCTTTCATAATTGTTTTTCCCTCTACAATATAACATGATCATGAAGGAAGGAAGGATCAAGGAAGAACCATATATAGGATAAAAATAGGATGCTTTCTCAAAACTTCCTACAGGGCCACTGGTTTTCACAACTGTAATAAGTTTGTTTTGACATTCAGTGCGCTATATAGGGCAAGTTTAATTTTTGATTTCTTGACAATCTATTGGTTAACAATGGCCCTTGCTTAAACAAATGAAACCCAGAAGTCTCATACTGTATATTTATGTGGTTGATTATAATATAACAATGAAGCGGTATCAGTCATTATTTGTGTAGAATGATTGATTGTATAAAAGTTCTATCTTCCAATTGTTTAGAAGTTATATCTTCTGTTTGTGTGAAGTAGTTTGCTCCTGTGAAAAAGATTAACATAAAACAATGATTCTCAACCAGGATGTCATGACACCTGGAGTGCCTTGAGATCCTTTTAAGGGTGTCACTGAGTGTCACATAATATTAACACTGTTAAGCCTGCAACCATGATTCACAAGATAAACCCAGATATTTCAGATAGGAATTCATGGTGTTAAAAATATTCTGACATGTTGTGGTGTTTCTGAGTTCTTTACAACAAGAAAAAATGCTCTGTCGTTTTTCTGTAGTCAAACAATGAGTGAAAACTAGGAGCTGGCATTTTCTAAGTGTTGCTTCGAATCTATCAAGGCATGCCTGTCCATAAAGAGGTTGAGAACCACTAATGTAAAAGATAGGTCCAAACAAGGACCAGAGCTCCTTTGTGTTGTCTGATCTACACACAAACAAAATAAAGCAATCTCTCCTCCACAGAGAACCATATTTTCATAGATTCATAGACATTAGGGGCTGGAAGGGACCTTGTGAGATTGAGTCCAGCTCCCTTGCCAGAGGCAGGAAGTCTGCAGGGATCAAATGATCCCACCACGATAAACATCCAAGCGCATTTTGAATGAGTCCAGAGTAGGTGCTTGCACCACCTCTGGGGGGAGTCTGTTCCAAACCTTGGACACTCAGACTATAAAAAAGTTTTTCCTTATATTAAGTCTGAATTAGCCTTCTAAAAGTTTGTGGCCGTTAGACCTAGTTATCCCTTGGGGAGCCCTGGTGAACAAGTGTTCTCCCAGATCCTGATGCACCCGCCTTATAGACTTATGAGCAGCCACCAAGTCCCCCCTGAGCCTTCTCTTTGCCAAGCTGAAGAGTTCCATGTCCCTCAGCCTCTCCTCATAAGGCTTGCACTCTTGGCTTTTGATCATATGGGTGGCTGTCCTCTGGACTCTCTCAAGCTTATCCACATCCTTTCTGAAGTGGGGGACCCAAAACTGGATGCAGTACTCCAGCTGCGGCCTCACTAAGGCCAAGTAAAGCAGAAGGTTTTGCTTGAGATGCATTGGTGGATGCATGCCAGAGCTTGGTTTGCTCTGCTGGCCACCGCATTGCACTGGGGGCTCATGTTCATCTTGTGGTCAATCAAGACCCCCAAGTCTCTTTCAGTCGTGGTGCTAGTGAGCATAGCACTGCTGAGCCTATAAGTATGATGTTGTTTTTTTCTTCCAAGATGAAGTGCCCTGCATTTCTCTATGTTGAATGCCATCAGGTTTTGGTCCACCCACTTTGCAAGCATTTCCATGGCAAGACTGAAGAAGTGGATAAAACAGAAATGAAGATAGGGGTATACATTACAAATAAAAGCAAGAACATTTTGCACCCATCAGTACTCTCAGTGGTCCCACTAGACCCAGGTCACTAGCTGCCTCACTAGTTCCACACAATATAGTTTTGTAGGTAGATAGGATAAGGACCAGAACAATTTGTTGAGTTACTTAAATATAAAATATGTAATCCTGTATTACTGTTTAATTAAATAAACAATATAAAAGACTAAAAATAATCATTTCTTTCATATGGATTTACACAATTTATTCCAGTAAATGAAGGCAAAAGGCTACATAATCTTATTTAATTTGTTTTTGTTTTAGAACGTCAACCGTGCACATCAATGGCTGGTTCAAATGCTCTCCCCTCCAATGTAGCTGGTATCAGTAAAGAGCTGATAGAACTGCAGCACCTCATCCAGTTTCCAGAGGAAGTTGCAAGTATCCTGACTGAACAGGAACAGGATCTCTACCGAAAGGTCTTACCCATTGACTACCTCTGCTTCTTAACCAGGGATCTGGGTAATGCTGAATGCCACAGTAAACTTCCATGTATAAAAGATTCCATATCTGCAACTATTCTTTCCTCCCAAAATGGTGAACACAATGCTGTCGAAGATCTTGTAACACGATTTAATGAGGTAAGACAAGATGTTTTATTTACTTTATATGTAAATTATTTAGCTTTCTGATGCAATATATGGGTCAGTTTTATTCCTTTGTATCCAGGGACAGAATTTAGGTCTGTGTGTTTGTATTTTAAAAAGGTGGCTCGGAGATTTGTCTATATAACTTCCATTGAAATTAGTGGAAGTTACATAGCTAACCTCCCTAAACAGATAGAGTTAATTAACTGTATTAATTTGAAGTTAGGCAGAAGGTAGAGCACAGGTACACCTTATAAACTAATTAAATCAGTGATGCATAAGCTTTTATGAGTTCAAGCTCACTTCATCAGATGCTGTACTTCCCTAGTCAACTTTGAAAATGTTAGTCCAGGGAATCTCAGGGTGCCTCTCTATAAGTAGGGAAATAGGGGTTTGCTGCTTACAGGGTGTGTCTACACATGCATTTACTCCATCTTAGATTTACTGTGCAGTAAACTACTGCAGAGTAAGGGTTTTTGGGTAGGTGTCTACACATGTAAGGATTAGGGAACAGATTTTTTCCGAGGTCCCTGCAGCCGTTCAGTGCACCCCTGTGGTCACTTGGGAGAGCTCCAGGCTCCAGGTGCAGCTGCCAGCACCTGGCAGCCATCTTTAAAAGACAACCCCACTCTCTGGGCAGCCTCTTCCTTGCCTAGGAGCAGCATGGCAAGTGCAGAGACAGCATGCAGCAGCTTTCTCCATGGCCACCCTGCCTCCCTGTGCTATAGCTGCCCCAGCCTCTGGCCCTGGCAGCTACAACCAGTACCTCGGGCTCCTGCTGGCCACCGCAGTTGTCCTGTTGGCCCACTGTGCCGACTGCTGCCTAGCCCACAGCCATCTTACCTGAGGCCTCAGCTCCCCCACAACCAGTGAACATCTGCTCACCTGCAGCATGCCATCCCAGGACTACTGCCACCACCACACAGCTGCCACCACCAGGGACACCAATGCGGGGCTTCTGAATACCATCACCAGGCCTCTGTTGCTGTCCTGGGCCTCCAGCCCCACTGCCTCTGGGCCCACTACACCAGGCAGCACTGGTGGCTGCACCTCGTCCAACAGACCTGGGATGATGAGCAGTGGCTGGATGCATTTCAGCTGACCCGGGCCACCTTCCGGGACCTGCTCTACCAACTCCAGTCCCACCTGGAGCAGCAGGACACCAGCATGTGCCCGACCCACCCTGCTGACCCCTCATGCTTCTGAAGCTGGCCATGCCTGCCAGCCTCCACTATGTGGACACCTGTTTGGTGTGGGCAAGGCCACCACTGGGGAGGCCTCCTGGAAGTGTAGGAGGCCCTCCAGAATGTGCTGGCGGATTCTGTGCTCCATGTCCATGACCCTCTGGTGATGGTGGTTCCCCCTGGATGGGACCCACATCCTGGTCACCTGCCCGCCCCACAGAGACCGTCTCTATTACAGCCATAAGGGAGTTCACTCCATGGTCCTGCAGGCTATCGTGGACCACTACGTCACATTCACACATGTAAGTGCTGGCTGGTTGGGCACAGCTCATGATGCTTGCATAATTTGGAACTCCAGCCTGGTGGGACTGGTGGAGAGCAGGTGCTTTGTGGTGGGGGTGCTGGACCTGCAGCTGGGTGCCATTGTTGTCCCACCCCTGCTCACTGGGGACCTGTCTTCTGCTCCTGCCCTGGCTGATGCGGCCCTACACCAGCTACCCAGACCCCCTCCAGGCCCACTTTAACCCTAACCCTAACCCTGGGCCAAACCTGCACCCTGGTCAAGTGTGCCTTTGGCTGCCTCAAGGACCACTGGCACACCCTTACTGTCTGCCTCAAGGTCACCAAGGAGAACCTCCCCTGGATCATCATTGCAGCCTGCATGCTGCAAAATATCTGCAAGGCCCAGAGGGGGCTGTTCTGTGAAGCCTGGGCAGAGGAGGGGCAGCGGGCAAAGCCTGCCTGGCAGTGGGAGCACCACCTGCAGTGGCAGGTCCCCCTCTTCTGCCTCCCTCCCCCCACAGTGCAGAGAGCTCCCTCCCCAAAAAACAGAGCCCTTCTACCACCTACCCCACCCACCAATAACAAAAACCCTCTTCCCAGTAAAAACTATGTTCAAAGTGGATTTTTTTGGTGTCCTAGAGTGGGGTCCATGGAGTTGGGGCCTCTAGGAGGTAGAGACTTGGGCAGTTGGCCAGTACCCCGGCCTCCTGCTGCTGCTCCATGGGTGCACACACCATGGCATGTGCGGTGGGCGAAGGGCTCACCTGGGGGTGATGGTGACCGCTGACCCTCTGGCACAGGCAGCTCCCCCTTTGCCAGGGGCTGTCCATGGTCAGCAGAGCCAGTGTGGGGTCCTGTCCCTACTGCTGGCTGCTCCAGCTCTGCACCGACATGGAGCCAGGGTAAGTGACAGGCCTGGGCCCAGGTGGGGGAGGGTCTCTGTGACCGACCACAATCATGGTTTGGCTGTGCCCAAAAGACCATGCCCGCAAGACATGTCACCAGAGGAGGGATCCTCGAAAGTGCAGCATCCCGTCCTGCCTAGCTTCCTGGCTGTAGCCTCCACCAGCAGCTCAGGGAGACCATGCCCTTTATGCAGCAACTGACCCATATTTGGCACCCTGGGACCCAGGTTGCAAATGTGCAGTTTATACCAGCACAGGCAGCCTGCCTGAGTCCCACTCCCCTGCCAATCCCTGTGCCCAGAAGGCCTTGATCTTTATGCGGCATTGCCATGCTGACTGGTCATGCCCTCACTTCTGCATCTTGCCCAACAGGGCCTCATAAATATGGGTGATGGAGTGCCTGCCCTGCTCAAATTGGTGCAGCACCTCCATGTCACTCCAGAGTGCCACAAGGTTGCCAGTCTCCTCCTGGCTTCAGTTGGAGCCCCAGGTGCAGGACACGGGCTTGTGTACGTGGGTAGCGCTGGGCCTGTGTGATGAGGATGAGATCACGCTGGGTCCCGCACCGGCTCTCTCAGCCTCTGCCCAGCTGCCCCAGTATTGCCAGCCCTGGACATCTGCCAGCAGCGCCCAGCTCAGTTGTACAGCCAGGAACTGGCAGCCACGTGGCAGAAGCTATACCCCTGTAGCACCTGCAGGCACAGGGCAGGATGCAGGGGGGGTGCAGCAGGGAGGTGGTACTGGCCCTGCTGTCAGAAGCAGCCTGCAGGCAGCCCTGGGGAGCTGACAGGGCTGGCCAGGGGATGCAACAGCTTGCAGCACTGTTCAGCACCCAGGTGGCCTGACAGCAGTGCCCTGGTAGCTGTGCCCTCAGACTCCCTGTGGTGTGTGCCCCAGGGCATAAAATGTTTGCAGACTTTTATAGCCTACAGACAGGGGCTGCCAAAGAGGCAGACCAACCCTGAAGCAGGAGAGGCTCCTAGGCTGCATCCCTGGGGCTGGCTTCAGGCCAGCCCCCTAGGGCAGGGCAGAACCAGGAGCAAGCTTGCTCCTAGGTCACTTCTACACATGTGGTACTGCACAGCTAACACTCATGCTTAAATTTGGCACCATATTTAATCACGATTAAGGGTTTTTACTGTGCAGTAAGTATGCACACATGTAGACGTGCACGCTTACTGTGCAGTAAACTAGGCAATGGTGCAGTAACGAATCTCATGTAGACACCCACAGAGAGACCCACCCATAATCTCCAAGGGGCAGTCTTTTTAAAGCACCCTTGTGCCCCCATGCTTCCACGTGGAGACATGACTACTAAGACTTGTCCCTGGAATCTCTGGGGATCACCTGAGTAATTAGGGAAAGTGTGGCTTTCCTCACTCACCCAACCCACCTCCTAGGAGATCCTAGGAGCAAGTCACCATTAGTGAACAGGACAAAGGGCGATGTGTGTTTAGTCCAATGAAGTGGATCATTTGTTCTGCAACACATCAGCTTCATTCAGTGACATCTATTTCCAACCTCAGCTTGGAAAAGTAAACAAGAAAAAAAACATACAATCAGTACCTACACTCCTGTCATACATTTATATTGGTATTCTGAGTGTATTTTCAAACAGTTTATTACTTTGTTCAGAGAATAGAGTGTATTGTGTTTGTTCATTTGTTTGTCTTCATTGTTTTGGACTAAGCATGATCTTTTTGGTAGTCAACCTGGAAGTACCCCACTCACTCATCCCTAGCTACTCTACAGAGGAAATTACATTAAAATAACAGTTATTAAAGGTATAGGATATAGTAATTTAATAGGTCTGTTTGAAATTTAAAAAAACCAAAAAAGGTAATTATTAGGGGTGTGCCGATAGAGATTTTTTGGGCCGATACTGGTAGCCAATTTTTAATGAGGTATATTGGCCGATACCAATCCGATTGCCGATATGCAACTGGGCAGCTTGGAGAGCAGTGTCTGGCTGGTAAGTCTCTTGTGGGGGAAGGGGCATGGAGGAGGGAAGGGGTTGGGAGGGGTAGATCAAGGACCTCACAGTGAGGAAGGAAGTTGGGCTGGGGCTGGGATAGGGGCAGGCACTGCACATCTGGGGCAGAGCCATGAGCAACTCATCGGGGGGGGGCGACTCCTGCCACTGCACACACCCTGGGAGAGCATGGGGGCATGTGCCTCCAGCTCTGTGTGTGGGATGAGGGCAAGCTGCTGCTGTGGGCTGGGGCGGGGTGACACTGGACTCTTTGTGGTGGGGGGGTTGCACTGGGGCTGCACTCGGGGCAGGCGGCAGTGGCACTTGGAGGGGGACTACGGGGCTGCAGCCACCCCAAAATTTACCCTACCCCTCCTCCCAGAGATGGCTCAGTCTGCTGAGGTAGCCCACCCTTTACTCATGTGCAGATCTGGGGGCACATGTCCCCCTATATCCTCCCAAGGTGTGTTCAGCAGCGGGAGCCCCACTCCCCCCTGCCTCCTGGGCAAGCCGTTCATGGCTCTGTCCCACACTCTGCCCCTGCTCTGCATCACCTGACCCTGCCTCAGCCCCACTCCCTCCCTTCCTGCTGGCGCCTTTATCTGCCCCTGCCATGCCCCTTCCCTTACAATAGACTTACCAGCCAGACCC